AGACACGATCAGATTCAGGGCGAGAACTGCCTGGTAGGCAGAAAGGGAGAAAAGGACCAGAAAAAACGAGGTGCTGCGACCAACCCCAGTTGGCCGGCATTTCACCAACTGATCAGGAGGCTGAACCCTCTGCAGTCTGCAGTCCCCTTACAGGTAAAATACCATCAGTGATAACACCCAGGTGCAGGTGGGCACCAACCCACTGCCCCACAACTGATACCCCAGTTGCAGGTGGGGCACCTACCACTGCCCGCACCCACCACTGCGCACGAGGGTACCTGTGACGAAAAAATCGAAGCACAGACTATCGCCTACCCAAGCACACCATACAAACAGCTGACCTTAGGGAACGTAGGTAGGTTCACACCCCATCAATCGTACATATAAAGCCCATTAAACCCCCCACGAACACAGAAAGGTCTCTCACACCCAGAAGCAGCACTCCCCACACAGCGTGGCCGCTTAGTTATGGCCTCAACCACCACTGCCGTTTATATGCATTGTGGTTAGTGGCTAAGTTGTTCCAGCACTTCTGCTAGGCTATCCTCAGACCACAAGGTAGTTCCTCAACAGAATCTGGCCACAATTGAGATCAGATGCATCCAGGAAAGTCGGTCTTGAATGTCCACCTAGGCTGGCATCGGGAGAGAGGAAGAGGAGGAAGAGGAGGAAGAGGAGGAAGATGACGGGGGAAAGGAAGAGGACAAAGAGGAGGAGGAGGAGGAGGAGGAGGAGGAGGAGGAGGAGGAGAAGAGGAAGAGAAGGAGCAGAGTAGGAAGAGGAAGAGGAGGAGGAGGAGGTAGAGGAGGAGGAGGTAGAGGAGGAAGAGGTAGAGGAGGAAGAGGAAGAGGAAGAGGAGGTGGAGGGGGAGAAGGAGGAAGAGGAGGAGAAGAGGAGGAGGAGGAGAAAGAGGAGGAAAAGGAGGAGGCAGGGCAAAGCACATCTGCAAAGATGGCCTTGACAACGGCAGCAGATGCCTCGCCAATTGTTGGCGGCACAATCTTCTTCGATTTCTTTTTTTTTTCTTTTTTTCTCTTTTTTGAAGTTTTTTCTCTTTTTCTCCC